CGCCTCCACTCCCACCGTCTTACTTTATTGTAATCACAACTATGTTTACTCAGTTCCTACAAAAGGTTAGAACAAATTAAATCAGCATACATGCCCATTATGAAGAAATCCAATACTGCTATGGGCTGTTTCTTGCCCTCCTCCCAATTCCTCCTCATAGGCAATTACTTTCAAGTTTTTTTTTTGCAGTAATTTTAGATTAATAAAGGAACTGCAAAGATATGATGGAAAATTACTACATGCCTGCCAGCCAACTTCTAATGTTTAGGTGTTACATAACCATGATACACTTATCAAACTTCAGGAAATGTCATTGGAAAATTACTCTTAATTAAGCTGTTGACTTCTTTCGGGTTTCACACTTCCTACCAATGCGTCCTTTTTTTGTTTCAGAAGTCAGTGTTGGGTATCATATCACACTGACATCATGCTTCCTAAACTCTATATATTCTGTGATAGTTTCACAGTCTTTTAAAGACAAGTCAGGTATTTTATAAATGATCTCGTAATGTTGATTTGTGTGTGTGTGTGTTTTTTTAATTGTGTATGTCTGTGTGTCCTTGCAGCCTGAATAACAGCTCCTAGCAACATGACTGCTAGCCATCAGGGAGGAAATTTCTAGTCAGTACAAGATTGATTTCTCTATGTCCCGAAGCTACAGTACGTTGTGTCTTCAGCAATGGGGTCCTACCAAATAGCATGGTGGGCAACCAGGTGGGATGGCAACAACCTCTGGGGCCTCTCTGACTAATAATAGCTCACAGAGAGGGAGTCTACCTTTGACACTGTGGTTTTCTTTTAATTACTGTGTCTTCTGGGGGAAGCTGATTTTGTTTTTTCCTGACATGGTTGACACTTTTGTGGAGAATAACACAGGAACGAGAGTGCTCAAGGCATCACATTATAGCATTGGGTACCTGTCCATATATCAGTGTGACTAATCACACGTGATACTACTTTTAATGCTTGGCTCACGTTCCTTTTAAGAGGCTGGGCATGGTGGCACAGCCTTTAATCCCCGAATTTGGGAGGGAGAAGCAGGAGTTTCGTAGGCCAGACTGGTCTACAGAGCGTTCCAGAACAGCTAGGACTGTGTTACACAGAGAGACCCTGACTCGTAAAACCACACCTCCCTCCCCCCCAAAGAATTTTCTGACATGTCTAACATCTATTTTCCTACATGGTGACTTTGTATCCTTTGTTAAGTTTAGTGTCTGACCTATTATAAATGATTAAATGATACAGAGTAAAAGGTGGCCTCCTGAGAGGCAAGAGAAAGGGCACCTCTAGGTCAGTATGAGTGAAAAGGATTGGCCTTCTGAAACTTTACTAAACTGTCCTATACATGCCAATTACCTAAGTATCTCATAAGGGGCAGACAGCAGGCCTGTGACAGAACCTGAATTCAGATTTCCTAATGAATAGACGCTATCAATTCTTATATCCATTTTACTAGGAAGGGAATTAAAACTCAGAAAGGTCAAATACACTTCCAACAGGAGGAAAAGTAAGTGTTGTCAGAAGTGGGATTCGAACCCACGCCTCCAGGGGAGACTGCGACCTGAACGCAGCGCCTTAGACCGCTCGGCCATCCTGACATAGTGTGCTCTGTTTTCCATACTTCCTTATGAGTTCATCAGCACTGATGACGCACGCATCACCTGTGTTTCGTTTGCCTATGGTTTCAAATAAAAAGCAAAGCTGGAGAGGTGAAAGTGAGTGACAGATCTTTCCTACCTCCTACTTCCTCATCACTTTAAACTTTCCATCTCCATCTCTTCTGGGGACCTTTCGGTCTCTCGTCTAGAGGGGCTGCATCAGGCCAGGGAGAACCTCCTATCGGCCAGTTCTCCCCGCTTCTGTCCTAAATTATCGCCTAACCGAACCCGTGCCGAGTGGACTCTGGGTTCTGCCTGGCGGAGCTAAGTGGGTGTGGAGCCCGGAGCTGGGAATGTTGGGCTGTGAGCCGGGGAGGAGAGAAAATGTTTTCCGCCAGGCGGATGCCAGGTTTTCTTACGGGACCCATTTTTAGGCTTGTAGAAAACAGACCCAAAACACGGTCGGCAAATTTCTCACATGTATTAGAGAAACTAGAGGGAGCCACCCCGCGCATTGCGTTGGTGGTATAGTGGTGAGCATAGCTGCCTTCCAAGCAGTTGACCCGGGTTCGATTCCCGGCCAACGCATGTCCGCTTTTGCTTTTGTTTCTTATGTAGGACAAGAGTGTTCTATTTTTTTATTTTTGAACAAAACCAGTCCCGCCAAATTGGGGCCGACCGAATTAGGTTCCTGAAGGTATTTCATCTTACCTTTTTTTGTTTTGGGAATCTTCTGGAGTCTCGAATCTCTTGTCAGAATCTCAGACTCGTACAGGCCTCCGTACCGGAGAGGATTATACAGTAGGCGCGAGTTCTTGAGCGTTTTGAAACTGGCCGGTGCGTGTAAGAATCACATTTTCAAATTTTGTTTTAATTGAACTAATTGAAATAAGTAATTAATGGAGCAATCAAATAGATGGAAATATCTAAATGGCTACTCATTTCGGCTACTGAAGACCTTTTAAGCAGGAAAAAGGTATATGTGTATTTTTGATTTGTATATTTTTATGAAATCTGTATAGATACCCTTTGTTCTTTCTAAAACTTTGAGTGTAAAATACATTCCAGACTTTGAAGACTAAGAAGAAATAATCTAATTAATTTTTTGGTATGATTATATGTTGAAATATTTTGGATGTGTGGGGCTAAATAGGAATTATTAAACTTATCATGTTTTTGTTATTGATTAAATTTGTTCTTTGATAATTGCACACGTGACTTGTTTATACTCACCTCGCGCCCCCTTTTTATTTCCCTCTCACCTCTGTGTTTCCTTCCTTCTCCCTTCAATCCCTTTCCCACTTTCGAGTCCTTTGTGACCCACTGATTTTAATGAGGAACCTGTTTCTTTCTACTGTTTGATCTGGCTGTTAGAAAACTGGCGGATATATGCTGCATTTGTTTTTTAGTCTGCTGATCCAGACAATAAAAATGCATTCCACTAACTTCCAGGGTACAGAGATCGCTTAGAAATACCTTTCTTGGGCAGCTGTTTTGAGGCCCGTAGCATGGTCATCCTCGTTAGTATAGTGGTGAGTATCCCCG